TCCATACTGCATTTCACTCGGAACTTACTACCAAGACCCAGCAGTTCAGTAAGGCCCATCTGAACGAAATATAATTTGTTCAGAGACTCTGTTTGGACACCAGAGGGCAGAAGAATCACTTGAAGTGAAGGAATTCAATGTAAGCAAATCTTGTGTATTCTTGAATTTCCAGGCTTATTAACATTGTAGAGTAGTGATATCATTGTAAGGCTAGGAGTTTAGGTTTGACTTTTTATCACAGGAAGTACAGAAGTCTGTCAAACTAAAAAAATTAAGTAGCTATGGCACACAGAAAGTTCTAATGTTTATTTACCGGAGTGATAATGTCAACAGAAGGCACTGCTGGGAGAACAACTGAGAATTCAACCTCCATAGCAACATGGATGAGAAAATGTAAGTGCAAAGGTGGTGTTTAAAATAATCTATTTAAAATGTTTAACATAAGTGGAAAGTGGCTCTTAGAGTAAAGATCCTGACATTTCATAGAAAGCAAATTATTCAGCAATGCTTTGATTAAAGTAAGATGTGTTCCCCTGAATTACAATAAAAGAAATGCCAAGTGCAACAAGGCTTCAACACTTCACTATTATTTTTGTAGAGAACAGACTGATCTCTGGAGAAACAATGTAAGGTTCTGTTTGGTTGTTTGATTTTATCACTTTGAAGGCAGAATGGCATGGGGGTCAATGGCATTTGATTTGGAGTTACATGGCTCTAAATTTAATCCTAGTCTCACCACTTTAAAAACTATGAGACCATGAGCATGTGCTTATCCTCACTGGCTTTTTCTATTTATTTTTTTAAATTGAAGAATAGTTAATTTACAATGTTGTGTTTGTTTCCGGTGTACAGCAAAGAGATTCATTTATATTCATATATATATATATATATATATTTATATATATATATATATTCTTTTCTCAAAATCCATTATAGGTTATTACAAGATATTGAATATAGTTCCCTATGCTATATAGTAGTACCTTATTGCTTATCTATTTTATATATAGTAGTGTGTATCTGTTAATCCAAACTCCTAATTTATCCCTCCCCCCTCTTTCTCTTTTGGTAACTATAAATTTGTTTACTATGTCTGTGAGTCTATTTCTGTTTTGTAAATAAGTTCATTTGTATCATTTTTTTAGATTCCACATGCAAGTGTTATCATATGATACTTGTCTTTCTGTCTGACTTACTTCACTTAGGATTATAATCTCTGGATCCATCCATGTTGCTGCAAATGGCATTATTTCATTTTTTATGGCTGAGTAATATTCCACTATACATATAATATAAATCCCACATCTTCTATATCCATTCATCTGTTGATGGACATTTAGGTTCATTGGGCTTTTTCTTACCCATAAAATTGGGATAATAATATCTACACCATTAAGTTGTCTGTAAGAATGTACAGATAACATGAGTCCTTATTACTGTGTCTGGATCATAAGATGGGTTCAATAATGGTTTTTGACTAAAATTTCTGAGCTGGAGGTTTGTAGAAAATAAGACTCTTAGCTTCACTTAAACAAAAATTACTACAAGTAGGCTGCTTAAAACAAAACAGAACAGATGAGCAAGTATGTCAGGAGAATATGTAAAAATAAATGCAGTTAATTTTAGGTAGAGCATTCAGTAGCATATTAATCAGGTGAATTTAGGGGATAGGTGAGTATTAGAGAATATCAAAGAATAAAGGAAAAAAGACTGGTCAGAAAACTTCAACATCCCTATTCACTCTGCCATGTTTGGTGATATGATATTGAGAAAATTATTATTCTGGGCATAAGTTTCCTCCTCTGTAAAATGAGAGTGAATTATGCTGTGTCTCTCATCCATTCCGGTTCTTAGATCCTCAAACTTAACAAGAGTCATTACTTGATACACTGTGAAATATAATTTCAGTGATTAAATGACAGAGTTAGTTAAATGGTAACCTTAGTTTATGAAAAGCTTATTTGTGTAGCAGATTTTCATATCAGATAGATGATATTCCTAACTTCAGCACCAGCCCGCCAAATATAAAATATAATGTGGAAAATCTGACTAAGCATTGTATGCAACTAAAAGGTAAGATATCACTGAAAACATAAAGAATTAAGGAAGCCAAAGGTTACACATTTACATACGATTTTAGACATTTTCGAATGTGGTCACAGAGATTTCAAAGAGAGTACAAAAGTAGCTAGTTACTTCGAAATAACTGATACCCTTTAGTTACGGTAGCTTTCTCGATACTCTCGCAAACTTTTCAGGGGGAGTGGTAATCACTATTCTTACAGAGAATCAATTGGAAAAAGATGGTAAATAAAAAAAATTTTTTAATATCTCAGTAATATTATTTTACATAAATAAATTTTTTAACTGGCTTATCTGGTTGCTCCCCATCTAAAACCAGTGTAGACACAATCTGAGTTTAGTTCAGAACAAGAAAGAATGCCGCTTTTAAGTGAAACTATAAAGCAAGATAAATAATCCCTGACAGTAACTAGGATATATTTTTCTTTCCCTAAATTCTATAAAAGAACATAATGTACCTGATCAAAGAGTGTTCTAACAGAGTCTTCCTAAGGGAGACTTTGTCTTTCTGTCTCAGTTACCAACAGTGGCCCGAGGATGGGCTACGGATTAAAGATTAGTTACGAGGCATAATTCTCAAAGCTTAGCTTCAGATGCGAATGTGTTTACACATTTACAAAAGCATAGGAGAATAATGATGTTTAGAAAGGATAAAAGAATAATTTTGTTAAATAGCACTTCCTTATGCCTGATGATATTTTTCCTTTTATCTAAATTATTAAAAAGAAAGAAAACTATTTTTGGTAGTTTGGATACAGCTTATTCCCTAGATAATTCTGAACTCTTCAAGAAAATATCTACAGTGTAAACACTTTGTATTTTGAGTACTCCAACAGCAAAGGCTGCTCTGTTTAACATAAGGAGGTGCTTCTTTCCTTACTGATGAAAACCCTCCTCACTGACATGTATGTTTTACTATTCGGGGGTCACATATCAGAGAAGTGCCCATGTTCTTCCAAGCAGAGTCATGTAAGGTGGGAGTTTGCCTTTAGGCTCCCATGACATTCACAGGTCTCTCAGGAAGGAGCAGGGAAGTGGTGACAGCAGCCACCTCTGCAGCATCTCCAGTCTACACTGTCAGATGTGATCTGGATGTATCGGCAGGTGGTCATCTTGATAATCAACTTCTAGCATTATAAGAATCAACTGCTGTATATAGGTAGGGAAATAATTTTCTGTAATGAATGTGGGTGATTTCAGTCCCAAATTCTTTCTCATGTAAATCCAGATAATTAAAGATTTGTTTTTAATGGCCTGAATGGTCACAGTCTTTATTTTTTAGAATAAACATATGTAGAAACAACTCAGAATATGATAGTCTCTGACACTTAATCCCAGAATCCTAGTATGGTCAAATTTCCCCAGCTAGAGAACGCTGTGAAGTTATATCAGCCTCCTCAAACAAAAAACAAACAAACCAAAAAACTCAAACAACCTTCACACATATAATCATTGTAATATACTATGTATATTCAGTAAAAGATCTTCCATTGAAGGGAAAAACAGATATAATTTAACATAAAAAGTTTTTAATGTAGCGTCAAAGTACAAGGACTCAGAGCTTGGACTCTACCAACAAGATATCTGGGTTTAAAACTCAGTTGCATCACTCACTAGCTTTGTGACCATGGGCAAGTTACTGCACTTACCTGTGCCTGAGATAGCTCATCTGTAAACTGGCATTAATAATAATAGCATTTGCTTTATAGAGTCAGTATAAAGATTACATTAAGATTTAAAAAGCCTTTAGAAGAGTACCTACACCCTATGTTACTGTTTAAAAAAAATAACAAGTACAGCTTTGATGTTCAAAGAAAATTAAAAAGTGAATATTGAAAATCATAATATTACTTGCAGAAAGTTTTTTCCACCAAAGTTGAGATTATCCTATAAATCAGCTCAGAAACATCCCTGAAACATATTGAGGAATTACGAAAGGGAAAATAGACATGGCTGTAAAGTGTGGTTCCCAAATTTAATCAGGTTACACAACAGGAAGATGAAAAGAGAACTCAGAAAGCCTGGCTACCAGCTGTTTTCTCTTCAAGAACACACATAAGATAAAACTCAGTAGAATTAGATGGGTTACATCAATGATTTTTCTGGGATTTTGATGACTATTTTGAGCTCTTTGTAGAAATATTCATAATGAATCCTAATTTTTTAAAAGGGGCATTTTACCTTTATATTAGGCCAATTAACTAATTCTAAAATATTTAAATAACAAACTGTTTTAATCACATCAACAAAACAAAAGCCATTTATAATGCACATACAGATTTTAAATCGCAAAGTTTTTCCAAAACAGATGCAGAAACTCTGAAACACATTTCTTACCTGTTTCATTTCTGCGCTAAACATGACTCATGCTATTTGAATAGAATTTTGGACTCAGAGCTTTCTATGTCTTTTCCACATCTAAAATATGCATATAATTCCAAGGTGCAACATAATAAAGAAAAGATAAATGCAGAACAAGAGAACAGATCATTTAAATGAACGATTATAACAGATGTAGTCTTTTTAAGGCAGAAGTGGGGACTAGAAGACTCTTCACTACATGCAGAGCTGTATGTGATGAATACTTACTAGCATTGCCTTCTAACTTGGAATATTTGTCATTCTAGATACTAAATCATTTTGATGATTCTATAGACATGTTGAGGATAAACGCTATATTCTCAGAGTAGTGCTCCTTACGATATAGCCCATTGTTTCCTGTAGTATTTAAAATTCTTACTCAAACGAAAAATATTAAGTTCCAGTAAAGGTCAGACATACTAACACATCACTGTAAGTAAACAGTTATTTTAAAACCACAGTGCATGTTGCTGTGGTGAATAGCATAGTTTATTATAATAGGATTAGGAAGAGAATATGGACTTAAAATACTTTGATTATTAAGTATGGATACATACTGTACCAGGTCGGGGATAAGGAATTCTTCCATCATACTGCACCCAACGATGATCTGCACTTTCCTTATGCGCATATGGACCATTAAAAACTGCTCTGATGTCGGCCATGCTATACACACACACAGCAGAGCCTTTGAAGATGGAGCTGAAAGAAAGCAACATGATTCAGTCATTCACTGGTCCATTCAATGGACATTCACTGAGCACATGCTATAACCAGGTGCTGTGGACACATTTATTCGGGACATTCTATCTGACAGGTGCGGCAGACAAAATGTGTGTATGTCCTCAAGGAGCTTACAGCCAAGTAATCCTGAATAAGTTTTGATAACACTTTTATTACAGGTAATTATAGTAAACTAAACAAGTACACAGATGGGTACCCAATACAAGGCTGTCTGGTAAGTTTTCAGGGAGTAGGTAGCATCTAAATTGACATCTGACGGACAAATAGGAATTACCTGGAAAAACTGGAGGATAGACGGGAATATGCAGGAAAGAGTATTATATTTATTCACATGCTCTTGAATTTTACTTGAAGTTATTATAGCATAATGCATTCTAAAGAACTTATAAAATCAGAAGTTATATTACCTACTTTTTAAAAAAAGGAATATTTAGATATGTAAATAATAAATATTTATCTTTCTTAAAGTGAGTGAATGTCCATAAATACTGGCTATTAATGATTTCCTCATATAATTTTTATTAATTTTAAAAACACTGAAATAATCTTTTTGCTCCTTTTTGAATTTCTGAGTTTATGTATATAACTTATCTGATGCTTAAAATTAATCATGATTACACAGTAAGGGGGCACATCTAATTAAGAGGCAGCAAAGCTCCATGGGAATTCAACAAATTTTTGCAAACTCATGATGAAAATTGTTAGCATCAGATTTTCATCTTGGTTTTATTTCCAGAAATTAAAAGGCATTTTCTCTGAATCTAAAATTTTCAGTGATTCCTGTTCTTAAAAACAAGATCACACTTTTCACTCTAAGAGACTTAGCACTACACAAATGAGTTTAGGATTCACTAACATGATCAGTAACTCAATCATTAATCATTCTTGGAATGACATTAATGCGAAGCATCAGGAGCTGATGGTCAATAGGCAGCTGGGAGAAAACTAGCTGCTAAGAAGGGAAATGATGGCCCCATAAAAATCATATGACCTGCCTATGATACTTTAAAGGAACGACGCATCATGGTGTTATTGCAGATTAATTACATCTTCTCATTGGACCAAGGATGTGACTTGCATCCTGACATTACCTCAGTCTTCAGGGCAGCATTAAAAATAAAATAACGAAGTACACCAAGAGCAAAGAGCTGACTTGTAACTTCACACTCTGGGTGGGCAAAAACTCGATAAGAGAAAAAGAGAACTATCTTGCGGCTACATTTCTTTGGCACACACATCTATGTCTTGTGAGTGAAACACACAGTGACTTTAAAGAAAATTCTGTGAATGGAAAGATGCCAGGAGAACCAGGGCTGTGATACTTGACTTGAGTAACTACAGGCACGTGGTCTTCCTGCACCTTTTTAGTTCAGATATAAATTAGAAGAAACATGGAGTTCAAAATAGCAGCTTCTTAGGATATCTTCTCTAGTCTCATATTTAAATATTTCCACTCTAATTTTATAATTAACCAAATAGTATTTTGTGTTTGATACATTCTGAACCAATAGTACATTTGACTTTATCCATAAGGTATTGTGAACTAAATGACAGTAATATCTCGGAAAATAAATTATAATTTTCCCACAAAATATTTTAATAATTTATTCAAAAGGAGGCAGTAAGACCATTTGTCTAATACTAATGCCAACACTGCCAATTCCTCCAATACTGATAGCAATATACATTGATAACGACCGATAGCAGCGCTATGGAAAAAGTGAAAAGTATTTCAAAGAATGTAACACAGGCAGTAGTAGGTAACAAGAATAAAAGTGCACTTGGAACAGAGTCAAATGTAAGTTAATGAATTAAATAAAATTAATATTAAATAAGATTAAGTGGGGGTTCAAATATTCTTTGAGAAAGCTTCATGGCTGCTAGGACAACTTTTAAGGAAGTGACAGAGCCTCAGTGACAAGTACAGGCCAGTATTATGCAGAAAGAAGACAAGAATACAGGTGTAGAAATTAGGAAGATACTTTTAGTCGAAGTCCCAGTATTACTACTAATTGGCTGCTCTTCTTTGGACAAGTACATGTAATACAAACTTCCTTTGCCTAAGTTAGTAGAGCAGTGATGATATGGTAATAATAACAGTCACACTTCCATCTTTGCAGAGTAATGGGGAAGTGCAAATAAGAGCATGTGGAGACATTTTAAAAGACAAGAGTGTCATCTCATGATTATAGCCTAGACAATGACTAAGACATGTATTTTGTTGGTATTACTTCTCTGTCATGCAGCTCAACCTATTTATTATGATTAACATGTGTATGTGCCCTTGTATCCAGTAATTGTAGTCTAGGAATTTAGCTCACAGATATACTTGCTCCTACAGGGAATAGCGTATGCGCAAGGTTAGTCATTGAAGCATTATGTGTACTAGCAAAGGACTGGAAACAACGCAAATGCCTAGGTACAGAGGACTAGTTAAATAAATTGTGTTAATCCATATAGGGGATACTTTGCTGGTGTAGAGAACAGAGACATTTTTATGTACTGATATTAAAAGATTTCTAGGAAACAATAAATGAAAAAGTAAAATTTTTAAATGTGTGTTTTTTCACACAAAAGGAAGGGACAAAAAGAACATATAAGTATTTTCTTACATAGATACAACAATTCTCTATAAGGATTATAGGCATTTTTTTTTTTAACTTACCTGGTTGTGGTAAAGACTCCATATACTACAGGATTTCTTTCATCTCTTGTGGGGAGTAAGTAAATGTCTTCTATTAATGGGAAAAAAATAATGATTCTACATTTGTATTTTTCAGTATCATGTTTGCTTTTTCTTTAATAATGAAATATTCCTGAGACTCTAAACAGTATATAAAATTAAGATAACAGTGAAAGTCATTACACTATGACATAAGAAATTAAGGGGAAAAGACAAGTTCTCACTAGCTGTGTGACACTTAATTGAACATTCACCCTCGAAGGTATTTACTTCAATCACCTATGAATGGGATGGTTCACTTGATAATCTCCATGATTGTTTCCAATTAGGAATATGTGATTTCATATAGAACAGAAACTAAAAACAGGTTATTTTTACCCTCCAGTGTTAAAAAAGTGTTGTCCTGTAATTGTGTCAACTTGTTAGTAATTCAATTACCTATTTGGTAATAATACGAAAATAGCTAGACTAGTTCATTTCTTGTGTGGTATTGTGTAATTACTTGTGCAACACTGATACTAAAGTATATGTAAATAATATTCTTTAAAACATCATTTAAGAGGTGAGCATACTTATATACAGCATGAGAAATCATCCATGAATACTGAATATATAATTTAATACTGTAAATACAATACTGACACAAATCATTCAATGATATCATTTTTACACTGCATGGCAAAACCAAAAATAAAGTTCAAAAAGTAAAAGCTAATGATACTAACTTTATTTACAGCTGAAAAATTCCTTCTAGAATTAGCTTTGAGAGGAGTAAAAAGGGGAAACAAAAGAGGAGAACCTAACGCTTCTCAGAGTATACTTTTTATTAACAAGTCAAAGCGACAGAGTTCACCAGATCTCCAGGGCTCTCCAGCAGAGGGCGTCTACAGAATAAGGAACCCAAGTTCTTGCTACCTATAGCCAGTGGCTCCTTCCAAATAAAAGACCACATGAAGAATGGATGGGCTTTGTAGTCCCAGAGCTAGTATCTTTCTGTCTCTTGCTGCAGTTTTGTTTCCCTCGTAACTCTGAGGACACTCACAAAAGGGGAACTTCTTCATTACGATGAACACCCAGACCTAGAGCACCTCCAAGTTCTTTGCGTGTGGGAACTTAGTAAGCACCACTCCTGCAAGCTGTCCTGGGCTTTATAATCAGGCATTTGGGGCTAAAATAAATTAAATGCTGAATTAATTAGTAAGACTTTTTTAAGAAAAACGAAACGTGACTTACGAAGCTCATCAAAATGAGTATCTGCCCCATCACTTCCAGAAATTGAGCAAATCAGTCTGGCCTTGAGAAAAGTGGTCCATTTGTTTATCAGGCTGCGTTGTCCTCCTACATCATTCTGGGGGAAAAAAAAGAAAACAAAATAAAGATACAGATTTACCAACATGATTCTATCACCAGCTCAAACTGGTGGTTATCATAGGCAGTGTCTTATTAATGTCATTGCTTTTATAAAGACAGAGACCTTGAATATTTAAGTCCATGAATTTTCGAAGGAGGGAAAAAGCAGTTTTGTCCTTCAAAATTAAATGATTTTCTCACAGTTAAATGTGCAGTGTAAACACCATAGCTCTGCTGAATGAGCAGATGCGTGCAAGCCAACAGTATATAAGGCAGGCTTGGAATCGACTCCCATTTCTGCCAAGTTTTGCTCTATGACTTACAAACGATTATTTAATTCTTCAAGTCTCTGTTTTCTCATTGACAAAATATGATTAATGCCTTGAAATATGGCTGTTTTTTTGTTTGCTTGTTTTTGCTGTGTTTTTTTTGCGATACGCGGGCCTCTCACTGTCGTGGCCTCTCCCGTTGCGGAGCACAGGCTCCGGACGCACAGGCTCAGCGGCCGTGGCTCACGGGCCCAGCCGCTGCGCGGCATGTGGGATCTTCCCAGGCCAGGCCACGAAGCCGCGTCCCCTGCATCGGCAGGCGGACTCTCAACCACTGCGCCACCAGGGAAGCCCGAAATATGGCTATTTTGATTATTAAATGGAAAATTTCTGTCAAGTGTTTAGCAAAGGCCAGGAAACTTGTATTAAAAAAAAAAATGTTACGCACTTCCCGGGTGGCACAGTGGTTGAGAGTCCGCCTGCCGATGCAGGGGACACGGGTTCGTGCCCCTGTCCGGGAAGATCCCACATGCCGCGGAGCGGCTGGGCCCGTGAGCCATGGCCGCTGAGCCTGCGCGACCAGAGCCTGTGCTCCGCAACGGGAGAGGCCACAACAGTGAGAGGCCCCCAAACCCCAAAAAAAAAAAAAAAAAAAAAAAAAACAAATTTCCAGTTATAAAATAAATAAGTCATGCACATGCACCCCAGTGTTCATTGCAGCACTATTTACAACAGCCAGGTCATGGAAGCAATGTAAATGCCCATCGACAGACGAATGCATAAAGAAGATGTGGTACATATATACAATGGAGTATTACTCAGCCATAAAAAGGAACGAAATTGGGTCATTTTTAGGGACGTGGATGGATCTAGAGACTGTCATACAGAGTGAAGTAAGTCAGAAAGAGAGAAACAAATATCGTATATTAACGCATATATGTAGAACCTAGAAATATGGTACAGAGGAACCAGTTTGCAGGGCAGAAATAGAGACACAGATGAAGAGAAACAAACGTATGGACACCAAGGGGGGGAAAGTGGCAGGGGGTGGTGGTGGGATGAATTGGGAGATTGGGATTGACATGTATACACTGATGTGCATAAAATGGATGACTAATAAGAACCTGCTGTATAAAAAATAAATAAGGGCTTCCCTGGTAGCGCAGTGGTTGAGAGTCTGCCTGCCGATGCAGGGGACACAGGTTCGTGCCCTGGTCCGGGAAGATCCCACATGCCGCAGAGCGGCTGGGCCCGTGAGCCATGGCCGCTGAGCCTGCGCGTCTGGAGCCTGTGCTCCGCAACGGGAGAGGCCACAGCAGTGAGAGGCCCGCGTACCGCAAAAAAATAAATAAATAAAAATAAATTAAATTAAAAAATAAATACATAAAATAAATAAGTCATGGAGATGTAACATACAGCATGGTGACTATAGTAAATAATATTGTATTGCATATTTGAAAGTTGCTAAAAGAGTAAAAAAATAAATTTGCAGCCATGTATGGTAATGGACATTAACTAGACTTATTGTGGTGACCCTTTTGCAATATATACAAATATAAAATCATTATAATGTACACCTGTAACTCATGTTGTATGCCCATTATACCTCAATAAAAAAATGAAAAAAAGATATTCTTTAGACATTTAGCAAAACATAAGCATTTATACCAATTAGGTAGAATAAACAGGGTTATGCCATTCAATAATTCACCATAAAGAGATATTTTTCTTATTTTTAATTTAATATGTCCCTGTGAACACTAAATTAATACGATTTTCTGTTTGACTCAACTAGATCTGCTATGCTTATGATAAATAAATAAGGATGTTTCATGGTATAAATACATTAAGTACTTAATTTTGACTTTCAAAAATTACTTATGAAGCCACTATTTCCATTAATATATTTCCATTTAAATCTAAATTCTATAAAAAGTTTTGTCTTTCATGCAGTCTGTGTTCCATAAAGTTAATAAACAGTTTGCTGTCAAATTTCAGGTCTCAATATCTAGGGACTAGCTTCCCTGTGATTCTTTTACCTATGAAAATTAAAGAAAAGCATCTACATGACCACTCCAGACAGGAGAATTCAAAGTCATATAAATAGAGGCTCTTCTTGAAGGAGGAAATGGGGAGGAGGAGAGAGAAGGAAGGGCAAGCAAGGTCATTGAGAACGGAGACCATAGCTGTCTTTATAGCCTTAACACCTCACACCAAGGGTGTACCGTGACACCCAGAGTGAATGGTGTTTAACATCCCTCTCTGCTAAACAACAGAAGTATTTTAAGTAATAGCTCTGTATAAATGAGTAATAATTATTATTTGCTTGCGTTCTTTAGGTTTATAACAAACAATTTAAAAAGGAGAATAATTTAAAATTTTAAATACATTCAAATTCAACAGTTAGCACGAACTCACATTTGCACTTAATGAACAAAATAATCACACCTCATAATTTGCACTATGTCTCAGTGTTGCAAGTTTTAAATAACTCCAAATCAATGTGAACTTACCCTTGAAACATGTGTAGCTGAGTTCATGTGTGTTGAAGACTGACTATACATATACATGTACACATAAATATACATAATAGAAACACAATGGTAACCACAGCAATTGTTTAGAACTTGGATAAACAAAAGACTTTTCTGGCAGTAGTACTCTGTCACTGATACTGTTTAGAATTGCTAATACATGGTGATAATAGAAAGCAAAGTAACATCTAGTTGGTTTTCTAATAGTTTTTAATTCTTAGCAGAAAATGCATTCTCTTATTCCTTTTATGCAGAATCTACTTCAGATATGCCACTAACATCCTGCTTGTCAGGTATTTATTAAGATCATATTTAATAATGAATAGCTAAAAATGCAAAATAAAATTGACAAAAGTCTTTAGAAAAATATAGATAAAAGTATAGATAAATGCCCAATAAACTGAGTCTTCTCTGAAATTTCTTTGTTGGGAAAATGAGGACAGACCTACAAGGTTTAATACTGTCTAAAATTACAGGTGGATTCACACATGCAGAAATTGGTTCAGGAAACATTCTAGATGCTGGAAAGATGAGGGAAAGAACAGCTGGTGAAACAATTCAGAACATGTATGGAGAACCAGGACAAATTTGGTTTAGACTAAGACGGGGATAAATTGAAATAGAGGAAAATGTTACGAAAGTAAACTGGGGTAAGATCAAGGAAGGGTTTGATACCAGGCCAAAGTGTCTGCATGTAATTTAGTACACAAGAATTACTAAAAGATTCAGTAATTAGCAAAGAAGTGAAGAAAATGAATATATATTTTATATAATAACGCTTTAGAAACAAACATTTCTGTAACTGCTCTTAAATTTATATTTTGTATATGGTTCCTCTATTATTTACCATTGCTCAATAATAAAAATAATATTTCAGTTAGCTATTAAATGATTTCCTATGTCTGCAAATGCAAAGGCAGACTTTTCTAGACATGACTTTTTTTTTTTTTTTTTTTTTCCCCGGTACGCGGGCCTCTCACTGTTGTGGCCTCTCCCGTTGCAGAGCACAGGCTCTGGACGCACAGGCTCAGCGGCCATGGCTCACGGGCCCAGCTGCTCCGCGGCATGTGGGAATCTTCCCGGACCGGGGCACGAACCTGCGTCCCCTGCATCGGCAAGTGGACTCTCAACCACTGCGCCACCAGGGAAGCCCTAGACATGACTTTTATTTCTACTGCTAATATCCTCAGATCAGTTAATAAATATAAATCCAGATGTTAATACTGATGCTTCCTCCTAATGTAATAATGAATTTTATGTTAACGTACAGAAAGATCCCAGTGACAAAATGTGTTATCTGGCATTATTCAGAAAGAAAGAGATTTTTAAATAAATTTAAAAATAGAAGATAACTTATCTCCTCATCTTTCTCCTGACCCTTGATTTATATCTTTTTAAATGATCATAACTAGCCTCTATATGTTTTTATTTTAGCAGAGCCCTAGTTGTACTAAGCAGAACTCTAAAGTCTATTTTAAGGCATCTTCTTACATATTTATAGTATTTATAAAATTTTCATCGCTTATATTTGTATATTTTGAGTCAGTAATAAATACTACAAAATAGTGTTGATTCAATATGCATAAAGAAGTATATCAACTATCATGAATATAATACCAGGGACCATGTTTGGTTTACTGCTTTACCCCTAGCACAGAGCAGTTATTCAAATCATTTTGCTAAGTGAATAAACAGATAATATCAAATATTTGCTCCATAACATCCCTTTAACGATTGTACATATTACTACTTCATCATAAAAACGAGCAATCACATTCTCTTTTCAACACATTATTAGATAAAAGTGACAAGAAATGGCTCATTTTCAAACACCGTCCCTCTTTCTATTTGCAATTATCACCATATTTAAGACAAACCATGAAAAAACTCTATTCTATTAGCTCCAAATTTGCCAAAAAGAGGTTTATACTGTACCTGCATACTTTTTTCAACCTGACAAATGGAAATTGCAATCCTTTGAACAAAAGAATCTTTAAATGCTCTCACCTACCCATCTAGCTGCTGTGCGTGGCCTCTCAAGGAATAAAAAGATAAAAACAAGCACAAAAATCCAGGTCAAAGATGAAAGCCACCTGCTGTCAACGGGAAAACAAGTATAGTTTCTGGGATAATAGCTCTCAGGAATGGATTATAAGCATTTAATGACTGGATAGTAACTCTTACAGACATCCAGA